TATATGAAGGTTGCGGGGAGCACGGTCCTTGCTCCAGCAAACAATTCGCCACAGGAGTTCACTTCAGCAAGCCTACAACTAAGTGGTATATCAGGATGTCATGTTTCTTGACTAGAAATGGGTATGTGCGAAAAGTCAGTCGCATTTACATGCTGGTACTCTTAGACGCAAAGAACCCACAATTTAATGCTATTACAGCTTTTTAATTCCCCCAGAAATTATCTTAGAGTACATAAGTACATTCAGGCGTCTACAGGCGGAGACCGAAATTTCATATGACTGTTAGCGCCGACGTCCGTCGGCCACCGCAGGGCTAGCCGCGCAATTTGAACAAGTTGCAAACAGGCAGTCAGTAGCGTAAATTACGTAATTATTTACGATACTGGCAGTGGACATGTTGGGTAAAAGTGCGGACACGTGGTTCGGTGATATTCTGTCGCTACGTGGTAGAGGCGCGAGGAGTTGGGCTCATCAGTAGGTCCCCACTCGGCTCTGTATTGACAGGGAATGCACTGGGAAACTACTGATTGCAGCACATTGTCCAATCAGTAATCAGAATGTCTGCTTTTTTATATTACGGGAGCGTTTAGTTGTATGCATGGTCCGTTAAGGACATCTAGGTTCCACTACCTGTATGCCTTATCTGCGCTGTTAAGTGCATTATTTTCGACGTGGCTCAAGTCATTTAGTCTAGCCTTGGAGATTTTCATGACGGCGCATATGCGGCGGATTTTGACTAGCCTCCCATCGGCTCAGTAGAAGACGTCGGTTTCTAGTTCCCTCCCACTATGAGTGTCTGTCAGAACCACAGGTAGCGTATGATTAAGGGAGGAGTAGATAAATACGCAAACCAGATTCCTTTTAATGGTTCCGGGGTTGATCAGTTTTCCTGAAGAGGGGTTAAGACGCTTAAAAAGGAGTGAAAGACCGCTATATTAGGAAATTAATTTTTACCTTATGATGCTATTTTTTGGAAGAAGGCACTCCTTCCCATCGTTTAAATGCATTGCCTATATGTGCGGATACTTTTCGGTTAGAAATGGTGCGGAGGATATGTCGGGGTGTCCTTGATAGGTGTCTCCCAAATAACAATTGATAAACCTTTTGCTCATATTATCCCTGGTTAGCAGTTATCCGCTACAATCATTAACAATTTACCGTTTACTTCAAAAGGAGAATTAACTAGCTCCCTCATTCTATCCTTCAAATCCGAACCCACTTATCCCTTCTTAACTTTGCTATTATCAACTTATGCGCACTAATGGGTCTTATTTTATTGACCATTCGGCAGCTGCTTAGTTTTTACAAATGCTTCGATGCCGTGTGATTGAGCCAACTGGTATTGGCTGTCCTCACCCAATACGTGCGCTAGATCGACCTTTGTAAAGTTAAAAATAAAGGTCGGTCACCAGGCTCCCTTCCTTTTCCTGGTGATTTTTGAGTTCTGGTTATTCTATTTGACCGACTTCCAAGCTTACTTGGGAAACGTTCAATTAGATTCACTTATAACAGGAACCAGGCACGTAAGTATTAAATAATGCCTAAATATTTTAGTGCCCAGCCAGTGCATTTGGGTATATATATTTAAATGTAATAGTATCCGTCACTGTTCCTAAAAGTTCCAATCAATTTTTCCAAACGCCCGGAGGGTTCAGAGCGTAAGTGACTAACATTTGGGCAGCAAAAGACGCCGAGGTTATTCCGACCAATGTAGTTCCACGAGCATATACATATGCCTGCCGTCGGTGTGCTTTTAAATTCTTGTGGAATATTTTTCCCCCAGCAAACAACTGCAGAATAATACATTTGACTCACTTGTGAAAGCCTCGGTGGCCTTGGTAGGAATCCAATCTACTAATTAATTTTGCCTGGTAGTCATATGGCGGAGTCTAGATTGATTGCCTAGGAAATCCTGTCTAGTCAGTCAGTGCGCTGCACCAGGATTAGCGATTGTCGACGTTGCACTAGACTGGACGGCTAATTTGACCTAAGTGGGATTAACCTCACGGCTCCCGATGGGGCTTTCAGAGCTCAATTGGCTAGATTGTTGACTGTACTGGAGCCTTCCTCTTGCTGGTATGGGTTGGAATCCACCGGGGCCGCCGATATTTTCACAAGTGGATCACATAGATAATTTAAATCTGCCAAAACCTCCCTACTAAATGCTGATTATATATGGGCATATATACTACTAAAATCTTCGTTCCGGCGTTTTGGCTAGTGCTTATTCAAATTTTTGATTAAAATAGAATAGTCAGTAATAATTTAAAAAATAAGATTTGTTGTGACATAGTTTGGTGACAGGGTAAAATTCCTTAATTTTAATGACCATCATTTTCAAATGAAGTCCCATTTTAAAAGCCCAGTAGGTAAGGCCCTCCCAGGCTGTGCATGAAAATTGACTATTTGAAAATGTCATCACTGCTCATGGAATCAATGAGGACGTACGTTGCAGTTTGGCTTAACATCCCTACAGATCTTCAACGTGACTCGGGGATACCTCATGACCATCTAGCTCAAAAAAACATTGTCATTTCCACTCACCGTCTAATAGAAACGTTTACTGTTTTCGGAAAGAGTTCGTCGTATCAAGGCTGTTGAGCACTGTAATAGGCTAGCAGGATCACAGGTACAAAAGATGAAAACATTTATTCATCAACTCATGCTATTATCTTGTCCAGCTGGGGTGGAGGGGATGCAGCCGTTAGTTGGTACATATGCAGATAAATTACCGCGCGATACTATGCAGGAAGTGAGCCCTGAATTTAAAGTACGAAATATGGGCAAATAATTCAAACAGAACAGTTGCTGTTCCATCAAAGAAATGTTCATAAAATGTCATAGTTATTTGATTTTGCATGTCCTTTGATCAAGGCAAGCCGGAGAGTGAACCGGAGAGAGGCGTACCTTAACACGTATTGCATATCGTATACTTTGCTGTGCAAGTTATACGTGAACAGAAAAAAAGCATACGCATCATTGTAGACAATATGCGCGAGTGAATATTAGGCACTGACCAGATGAAAAGTCCCAGCCCCAGGTTGGAAGACAGATAATGTTAGTCCGCGAGAATCTCAAATCGTACACTTCCCTCATTACGTTCAAAGCTAACTGGAATATTCTTTGCAATGAGGTAACACTTGACCCGGATCAGAGTGTTTCGACGCATTCCAGCAAACTCTAAAAATACCAGGGGCTGGTGGTAGCAGACCTGGTTGAGGTATGGAAAGAAGGCCGAATGGAAACTTCCATTGGTTGTCTTCGCTCGCTTCTGACCCGTGGATACGTGATCCATGTCATAGTAGTGAACAGTACCCATGTTCAGGGTATCAGCTTCTGTCTCGCCCTCACACTTCACTAAAACTCCCGTGGCGAATTCCACCGGTTCCGGCAACCAACCATAGATGCGATTCATTTTGAGTGCGACACACGGACTCGCCGTTGTGTAGCCAAAAGTGTTGGCGAGGTTGCAGGGTCCAACGGCGTTCAGATCAAAGGCACAGGGTCGTCGCATATCTATTATATCGCCCCCAGTACCATGGACACAATCCTTCATCATCGTGCATAGTTTCTTTTGGTAGCCATAGAGGAAGGCCAGCATCTCATCAATCAGTTTAGAGTATGAGAGGGGTTCATAGGGTCGGAAATGAATCAAGCTGGTCAAAACATCGGGATTAGGCACTCGACTCAAGCCTGGATGCAACTGCAACAGACTCTGCCTGCCTGTGAGTTTTGGGTAGTCTGTGCGTATTTGAAAGTACATGAAACAATTGAGGTAGCCCCAGAAGAAGCCACCCAGGAGGGCATAGAGGACGAAAAAGTAG